GTGTGGTAATGCCCGCCATTGCTTGATTCGGTGATCGGTCCCATCAAATGCCCTGCAGTCGATGTGACTTTTCTCCCGAAGGCTTCGATATGCCGGGTCTGTACATATTGATGCAATATCAGCATACACTATTGACCACGCCCGATCCACGAAAGTCACAGACAAACGCAGACACCGGAAGGGAGCAAGGAAAAAGAAAAGAATCGCACCGTTAAGCCGATCCCTAAAAGACCATCCGGCTCGACAATATCTGATAAACCAGAAGGCGACTCATCGCGGCGCTGTGTCGCCATGAGGCTAACCGGAGGGTCTTTTGAGACTGAAAGACTCAAAAACCCATAAGGCTTATCCGGACAAAATAGAAGAGTCGAATCGCTTCAAGGGCGACTTCTCGGCACTCGGTCGGCTTACTGGGGAAGATCAAGAGTTGGTCTGGAGTTGCACGCGATGAATTACCGTGTCTCCGAGCTGCCGTATTATTGTTACCGCCAGCTAGCGAGGGACAGCTGCCGATACTCTGCGAGTCCCTTACCTATGTCGATGATCGAAGGGATGATCAATAATATATTCTGGGATAGGGTCTTTATGACGGCCTAGACCGCAATGCTAGAGCCGATCATCGAAATTCTAGTCTCTGAAGGTAGAAGAAAGGATGTTTCCCAGCTCTTAAGCTGTGACGGAGGAGGCTTAATGTTCCAAAAATACCACATGACCGCAGTGAATTACGGAGACCATGATACCTACCTTAGGCATCCAGGTAGCTGGCAGACTTCTCAGACTTCTGCTATCAGCTGAAAGGGAGAAGTAACAAGAAGAATGGGGTCGGTCAACCCCTTGGCTACTCATGGTTTACACAATCCGGAGCGAACATGAGCTCCACGGTCACCGGCGCTGTGCTTTCCTAGTTCGGCGCTGAGGTAGTCCTACATAACTGGATGAATCTGCCCGACCATCGGCCCCAATTTCTTCCCCTCTTAGCTCAGAATAACCAAATATCCTCGAAGCTGGAGGAGCTTAGGTAATTCTCGACAACTTGAGCTCAACAGAAGCATGGACGCTGCAATTGATCTTTCAGACGCCTCCAAGGCCTTGGATCTGGCCAACATCAGATTCCAGTTGATGTAAGTCCGAATCTTTCTTTGCTTCTGCCCCGCACATACTTCAACCATCTCCGATCGGAGGTATTTCTTCAAGTTCGCTGTTCGTTCGAGGAAATCAGTCCGCTGATTAGGGACCTGTAACTTCTCTTCTATCTGCAGTCGTCTAGAGGATACAATCACCTTCCACCTGATCGAGCGCGTTCAATTCCCCCTCAACAAGACCATCTACATCCCCGGCGGGGTCAGGATTCCAGGCGATGAGATCAGTTTAATGGACTACCTGCTCCGAGAGCAGGAGCGCCTACAGTCCCGCGTTCGTCGCTACGAGTCCCCCGACGAATACCCTTTCTTTCCTGAAGCGCTCGAACAGCCCATCCTGCAACCCCTCGAGTATCCCAAGATCCTCCACGACAACGATGTCAACGTCAACGAGATCATCAAGAAGCGATATGTTGAGAATATCCTTCCCGCGGTGTGCGCCCAATTCGGACGCGAGGATCGAGGAGAAGCAAAAGAGAACTATGGGTCTGCGGCGACGTGCGACGTCAGTGTGCTGCAGGCGCTCTCGCGTCGCATCCACTTTGGCAAATTTGTCGCGGAGGCCAAATTCCAGAAGGACCCGGAGTTGTTTGTCAAGCTGATCAAGGCCAATGATCGGGCCGGAATCGATGCGGCCATTACCGATGCGAAGGTAGAACAGAAGGTGCTGGAGAGATTGGGCCTTAAGGCCAAGACCTACGGGACCGACCCTGCGTTTCCGTCGGAGACAGGGCCGAAGATCAATGTGGACGCTGTGGTTGCCATGTACAAGGTAAGTGAGAGGGTTGACTGTATTGGAAAGCGGACATTGCTGATTGTGGAAACAGGAATATGTCATTCCTCTGACCAAGGTGGTGGAAGTCGAGTACCTCATGCAACGGCTGAAAGGCACTCAATGGGAGTGAACGATTTAAGCGACCTCGCCAGTATATATGATGTTCTGATGGGAGTAATGTATCTTATGCCCTCACGAAAAGAAAAGAAGCTGTAATCTCTGGGTTGAATAATGGATATAGACATGCATGCGTCGGCTAATACTCATACTTTTGGTCTTTCGTCATGAAATCATTGGCAGTAGCTCTGGTATGCCTATACAGGAGGTTTTAAATAATCCGTCACCTCTTTGACCGCAGCTTCCAGTTTCGGGCCGTCGATCAATATCAGACTCCCCGATGTCTTGATGCCGAGATCCTGGAATGCCCGTTTTGAGTCTGAAAGGCCTTCGTCGTGCTTGTGTGTATACTCTATCGAGCCAGAGCAGATCGCGTGCCGCTCAATCACCTCATCCTCGGGGTGAAAGAAGAATCGCTCGACATTGCTGCCAGACTTCTTCTTCTTCTTCTGCGGCCGCGACTCTTCCATGTCCAGCTTGGATTCAACCTCCTCGTACGTCTTGGACACAATCAGATAGTGGGAGAAATTGTAGGGCTCCTTGTCTTCAATGGCCCACGCGATCTCCTCCAGAAGCATGCTATACATTGGAGGAACAACTTCGGCGGGCATGTTGATCAAGCGCTCGGTGAGAATCAAACCAACTGGAGGGATAGGTGATTGGGAGAGGAGCTCCGACAGGGGTGCGAGGGAAGGATTGGACGAGGCTTTGCGTTGCAGGTAAGAGGTCAAATCCTTGATCACGGGTTTATCCTGAACAGGTAAGCCTAGCTCCTCTCATTCCTCACAGAACAAGTGGAAGTACCTTGTGCTCTTGCAAGTTCAATACGGTCAAGAATGCATATGGATCGGATTCATTGCCGTCCACCTTCACTGTCGATCCGAGCAAGGGCTGTGCTAGTATCAGATCCGTCAATGCGGACAGGTCGAAGATCTGAGAATCGGCATCGAATAGTTGTCGGAGGAGATTCTTGAGTCCGTGGAAATCCACCGTGGGCTGAGGATCGAACCATTCGAAATCCACATTCACCATATCCATTTCCTAGTCAAGATAAATGTCGTTAGCATGAAAATGCGATAGGAGCAGGATGGCGTCCATACCTCGTCCGACTCGTCGTCCTCCACTGGGCGCCCGGTACCGCCCATCTCGACATCATTATCTCTGAGCTCTTTCCGCTTCCCCATTGTAAATGTCTCCTGATGCCAGTTGATCTGTGGGATCGAGACGCGTCTGTCTTGGCAGTCGAAGTTCTCCAGACTTTCTTCGTCGGCGGTCAATAAAAGATGCTCCGATACGGCCCCTCGCTAATTTTTTTCGGACCTTGGCTTTATCAGCAGCTTATCGCAAACACGTGACACGGCTTTATCTACTGTAGGACTCTCATTTTCATGGCGACACAAGCATACAGAAAACGAGTTCGGTGAGCTGTTTAAGATTAATCATGCCCTGCTGGAGGCTGCGCATAATATTTTCTTGCCAAATCCAAGATTCAATACTGGAGCTCACATTGTGGCTCGTCACGATTGGAGGGCAAGGCGAGCTTTCTTTGCACTATCCACTACTCTGATGAAAAATGCACGTCTTTTGGAACTGTCTACCATGAAAGTAAACAGACTCATACGTCAGCTTCCACTTCCTCGACAGTAGGAACCTTGTCCAAAGTTACGCCATGGAAACGCGCCACCAGCTGTACACAATCCCAGACAACCTGCACCTCCTCCCTGGAGAGCCCCAGCCGCCTCGTACCCCGAATATGCCAATGCGTCTCGGTCTTGAGATTCTGGCTCATGATCGCCGGTAGCACAACCATCTGCGTATCCACATCATCCAGCACCTGCCGATCAGACAGAAACAACCCGTAGGTGATCTCCCTCGATAACCAGGCGAAGTCTTTGTGCGCATTGAACAGGTCCAGCGTGTCGGAAGCGTTGCGCGCGTACAGCTTGCCGAACCAGTCCATCCCGCGCTCGTGGTTGGCCGCGTCGCATTGCCAGTTCTCCCGCGTGCAGGTGTACTCTTTGTCTTCGTTGCGCTCGGCCTTGCTGATGGCTAGGATGGCTTCCATGGGTTTGCATACGCCGACGATGATGACGGATTTGAAGAGGGCTTCTCGCAGACGCTTGACGAGGGCTTGCCGGGCGCTGGGGGACTCATGGCCTGGCTGATTGATGAGATGGAGGTAGAGCTGGTCTGCACGCTCCGGGTCGGAGCTGGCGACGATGGTTGCGATTGCGAGGATGTACCATTTGTCTGCGGGGAGCTTAGTGGATCTGAATAGGGATTCTATTTCTAGGAAGAGTTGTTCGTAGCGAGGGTCGACAGATGTCATTGTGATGACGAGGAGTCAACGTTAGTGGATCGATAATTGAGGCAAGCAGAGAAAAGGATGATTATGTCTCTGAGGGGGCTGTGGTGATTATGCATCGCTGACATGCATCTCCAACCCCGCATCTCGAGTTCAACTCTTATGATGATGCATCCAAATGCGCTCCAATTTATGATGGAGTCTTTGACTCAATTGCAGTCCAGAAATCATGTATGTCTGAAAAGACTGAAATAGAATATCCTTGTGCTGTAAGCTTACAGACTGCTCGCATGGTAGCCAGGAACGGGCAGTCCGGACGGAGCTGTAGATTACACCATGACACCATCGATCAACATCACCAACCAGGATCCCTAGGACATTGTTTCAAATCGAATTGAATTTCCCTCTTCATCACAGTGGAGAGCTATGATCAAATCAATCCAGCCAAATGCGCCTATTCCAGGATACATCACCAGCCAGCCCCACAAAATATGATCTCAGCGACTCGACCATATGACATCACAACGTCCAACATCTGGTATAAAGATCAATGAATCTCTCACCACGACCAACACACATACCTTCATTCAGCTCAATTACAATACTCTAATTGATCTCACGTGACCTCTTACCCTTTCTTCAACTCTAAAAAACTATCGCCAAAATGCCCACAGGAACCCAAAAATCCGGTAGCTCATACTCCGGCGGTGGCCAGTCAAGCGTCGGCCAGCCCTCCGTGTACGAGGCTGGCGACCAGCGCAACGAGCCCCAGTCTGCCATTAACCAGCGGGAACGGTACCATGAGGGCCAGAAGGGAAGCCACAGAAACTTGGATTCGAGTATGTGTCTTTCCCAAAACCCGGTCAGACAGCCAGCTTGGCTGGGATCAACATAGCTAATGAGAGTAGAGGATGAACGCTCGATTGCCAATAAGCTCGCTTCGGCGGAACAGCACCCCAACCGTAACAAGCCGTACGATCCTGAGGCAGAGTTGAGCAAGAAGGATCCCACTGCTCCGGTATGTTCATTTCTCTGTCGGCGACAGTAGTGTCTGGATGCTGATAAGTGTAGGCGACTCTGCACGGCTTTGAGCCCTCGAAGGGAGCCAAGATCGACAAGGAGCTGCAGGAGGACGATGAGCAGCGGTTGAGGGAGAAGGGAATCAAGAAATAAATAAAGGATCATTTTGTTTGGCCATAAAGCAAGGGATATCTGGATATATCCCTCTCACTAGAACTATGAATATTTTTCTTCACAAGGAGCAAGTGTAATGTTAGCTTTTATCTCAGAGACGAATTAAATCGACTGTTCATAGGCCGTGATCTGTGCAATCTGTGTACATGCTAGATGAAAAGTGTGATCACAAATAACGTACATGCAAGATTAGAAGGGATATATACAATACACGTGGCAGTATAAATGATCATCGACTCATGAGAAGCATGCTATGCTCAAAATGTCCAGTGGTGAAGCCCGTCAAATGACTCCGTAGGATGCAGGTGGGCAATAAGCCTAGTATGTTTAAAGCAAATGGCGAGCACTGGCCGTGGAATTTCTTGAGAATTCCTTCCAGATTAATTGGGATTGTTCAATCATCGGTAAACTTTGGATCGTCCTCATGTGGTTCAGCGAACACGTTCTGCCAGTAGCTCTCGACCTTCTGGCAAACCTCCGCCTTGTTTTCCCACGTCCGGAACTCAGTCTTGGGATCACAACTGACCCATTTAATCTCCTCCCAGTAATTCCTCTCGACGTCGTAGCCGAAACGACTAACGACATCTTCCGGTGCGGTCCAGGCGCGTCCGTCAGAGCCATCGGCTTTCAGCGTCGGGCCCGTCTCCCACTTCGCCCCGAAGAGGTTCTCTGCCGGGTTGAACTTGGGATAATGCGCATGTATGAAGAACACGCGCGGGGCTTTCGCCACGGAGGGATCTATGATCCGCCGTTTGTCCTGACTGGTCAAGGCATAGTCTTCCACCGGGTCAGCCTGCGCCATGGCCGAGCCAGAGAGTCCTTGGCCGTCCGGCTTCCAATGACCGAGGGCCTGCACTCTCTCGCTAACAGCATAGAATGGCTCCCCCAGTGCTGTTGCCGCCTGCAGAAATGTCTCCTTGTCCCCTTCCCCTGGAGCTCCTTGCGACAGCAGCCGGAAGTAATGCGATGGCCCGTAATAATTGTAGTAGGCGGCCAATAAGAGCGTTGTCAAATGAGCCTCTTTAGACACCAGAAAAACACCCGTCTCAGATGATTGTCGAGCAGACATCGGTGGGATTGGTTGCCGAGAGAGTTCAAAGTACGCCGGAGATGCAGTCGACGCCCAGAAGTCGGGCCAAGTGACCAAGCCGTTGGTCTTGAAGGGTTCCGAGTCAAGCAGCTCTTCAGGTTTGTGCAACGGGAAGCAGTCCGCATCCATCCAGATGATCTCCTCGAACGACGAAAAGAGAACTGCAAAGACCTTGAGTTGGTAATGCGCGATAGGGTTCTTCCCTACGATTTCCGAAAGGACCACGCACTTTGCCCCTAGATTGGGAAGCACGCTATCACAGATCTTCTTCTCATATTCGGTTGCATCCTTCATGTACAATTCTACCGGTAAGGTAGAGCCTGTACGGCGCAGCATCCGTAACGACGACAGAAACACCGGAAGGTATGTATTCCCAGCAGTCGAAACCAAGCCGCGCGTTCCAGCAGTGTGGGGTGAGCGCAACTTTTTCGATATTCGGATATCGCGAACATAATTCGCATGCGCTTCTTCCATCGCCTTTCGATCGTCTTCTTTCAGGAGGGTTAAATCTGGTCGCGCATCGGTTGAGGTGGCATTGAAATGAATCGCGTGAACATCGGCTCGCGCAACGGGTGATGGACAGTTTGGCGCATTCTTTTCTAGGATGGGCTTGAGGGCTTTCCAAAACGCGATCTGACGTTCGGTGAGCGGGACTTCAAATGCGGTGCTGGGGACCACGGATGCTGGTGCCGGGGTCCAGTACAGATAAAAGGTCGATATGAGAAAAATAGCGCCCGTGGCAAGGAGGAGTGACCTCAATCGGCCGAACCGGAATGTTGCCATGGTTGCGGTTCGTCAGTCAGCTGTTTTGAAAAGAAGTTTTGACGAACGTAAGCAAACGTTTTCGAGAAGCGTTGCGGACATAGAGTCGTTGAGGTTTGAGTCTAGGTTGTGGGGGACAAACTGACAACACCGATGGCAACTACTGACCATATTAGAGTGACACGAGCATTTTATATGGTCAATGGAGGATTCCAGCCAGTATCCGGGGTGTTCAAGGATGAAAAAACAGGATGAAAAACCTCAAGCCGAGGACTTTCTGCAATTAAATGATATGGTCCCTTGTCCCCCGTAGCTGCCCCCTTTTTTAGGTTAGTGCCGATCTAAGAGAAGCAGCCAAGATTTTAGTCAACTGAAGATCACTTGTTTATTTTATGCACATAACAATTAAATACCTGTGCCGAGAACAAAGGATCTCCTCTTCTAATATTCAGATCTGATGATTTTGCTGGAATTATTCTGTAAAACACAGACTTGGAACCATGCTGTCGATTATTGTTCAGAGAGCTCTTGATAAAAGTGTCGTCTCCGTTGCAGTACAGATTTGATCCATGCCAAACTGAAAGGTTTTCGGCATCCTCTTTTTTAGAAACGGTATTGAATCGTTGCATCATCATGTAACTTCTTGAAAGCAGCAGTATATCACTTCTTCTTGATTGTGGATATGTATAAACGAGATAATGCCATCCTTCTCAAATCCGTTTTATATCAGTGGTCGGTGCAGACAAAGCGACATCAGTTACAATAGGAGACGAAAGAACAATCAAAGGAGCAGTCAGATTTCGGAGTCGTCAACGGGCCAGTCCCTAAGATGGTCACCATCATCAAGGGCCCGAAGGCCACCTTGCTACAGTATGGTCCTACAGGAATTAGTACAAAACGAAAGAAGAACAAAAGAAGGCAGAAGGGGCCGAAGGATGTACTCACATGTCTGCCTCACTGTCCCAATGGGCTGATTTGCCTGCATAGAATTCACACTGCGCACCCTTGGAGTGCCAAATACAGTTCGCACAGGCACCAGTGAACAGCACACATCGCTTGCCATTATCGCCAGACATCTCAAAGCAGAGACGCAGGATTGGAAAACACCACCATTTTTAGCATATTGATTGCATAGTTCAACAGCTATCTCTCCTCGAGTTTGGAGAAGCAGGGCATCCCGGTGGCATTGGGTTTTCAAGTCGTTCCATGGTATTAGTCGATGAAGATGAAGCATGGCAAAAAAAAAAAAAAAAAGCTATGCAAAGGCCGCGCATGCTTCCATGGTAGTCAAGAATGATAAAACGGGGCAAGAAAACCTGTGCAAAGGCCGCGCATAGTCCACAGAGACCAGACCAGCAGTGATAAGGCTGCCAGATACGAGGAACAAGTGATTGTAGCCCTTTCAGCCCTGGCCAAAACCCCCCGACACTGATCACACCTTGTACTGGACATTCTTCCGTGGGCGTGTAGAACGCCTTAGTGCGGTGTTCTCTGAAGCATTGTTAGCCCTGGTAAGGAATAGCAGCGCTGGGGGAGTAAGGGAAAAGACTTACCTGCTGGCTGCCGCTGTTTGCGTTTCTGGGTCGTAGGCTGCTCGGGGGGCGCCTGAGGCGGGAGGAAGGGTGACTGGGGGTCAGGGGGTGATCCACGTGGGCTATTGGATTTTGGAGACTGTGGCGCCCTGGGTGGTGCAGAGCTAAGCAGAGAGCTTTCTCGAGAGACCTCAACCGCTCCCGCAGCACTCGCTCGGATCACTCCCTGAGACCTCCTTACCATTCTTGGTAGTCCAGTCAACTGTACAAACTGGATCAAGAAGTACAGCACAGCTTCGTTGCGTTCGAGTAAGCTTGGACTTCACCTCTTGTTCAGCGGCTCGGACTGCTCCTGAGCGATCAGCCACGTTGAGTGGCATCGCTTCCAGCGGCTGACTCTCCGTGTTGGTTTCCGATACTGAACTACTCTCACTGGCCACCGTATGGAGGCCACTTCCCAGTCGTCTTTGAGGCCCAAAGGCTCTTTAAGGCTCCCTGCCTTCGGGTAAACAACCAAAGATAGGATGCCCCGAAGGGGGAGGATGATGAATTGGACGCGACAACATCATATAAAAATATAATAAGCCCCTAGGTTGAGTTTAGAAAACCGTCCCTTAGTCTTGCTGCACAAGCCCCTAGATCTGGTTCAAAACAAGCCATCTCTTAGTCTTGCTAGTGTTCAGAGCATTATCCCCCGTTGCCGTGGCTTAATATGTATTTACCCCAGTCCGAACTTGCCCCGACATGGCAGTCAGGATGGCATGGATTGTGCCTGCATCAGTGTGAAAGATTTGAAATCCACAAAAAGGTCATACCATGTCACTGTCCACGAATACCAAGTCCACTCCACCCCGGTATAGGTCGTCGTGTGATAGGCCGTGGTGTAGTGATTCTCCGTCTGCGTGTAATGATTCACCGCGTTCGCCTGCGCGCAATTCCCGTTGGGACAGCAGCCCAGTCTCCCGTTGACGGTCATGCATCGCTCGCCCAATGGACAGTACCCCTGTACGCCGCAGCACTCCGCACCGTGAGGCATGCACCCCGTTCCGCAGCAGTGCTCGCCAGAGTTGCAGAAGTAGCTTCCGCAGCAGACGTCGCTGAGGGACCAGACGCACAGCCCATTGTCGCAGCAGATGTTGGTTGAGCAGGTCGATGGGCAGGTCCAGCGCTTGGCCAGGGGGTCGGATACGATGTCTGTTGTGGGCTCGGAGACGAGTGTGTTGTTGGGAATGCGGACAGGGTCCAGCGAGAGCTGTTGTCCTGCTTGCAGGGGGTGGTAACTTCGATGCCACGCTGATACAAAATAACGGCTGTCTGCTGAACCGAAGAAAGAACAGACTTGGTCATGGGCTTGCCGTCGCGGCCGAAGGACCACTCCAACTCTCGTTCGACATCAAGAAGAGCGACACAAGACTTCTCCTGTCTAGTAAGAGTGAATTGCCATTTCGACGAAGCTTCTTCAACAGCGCTGCGACGATCGGGGATATGCATGATCGAATCAGGAACGGGAGTGTAGTAACCGAGAAGCTGCAAAAGACGAATACGATTTGGGAATGAAAGGGACTGCAATAGTCCATCAATTTGAACGAACAAATGTTGGGCCAGGGGATCAATCATCGAGGTTGTTTACAAACATCTCGCGTGTCGAGCGAGAAAAGTTGGGAGTATTTATGGGGGTTAACCTGTTCAACCAACCGCCCATGAGAAGACGTCTGTATTTGTTCACAGACTGTACCTATGATCTTATTAGTGAATAAAGCCTGCCAGGACGGCTGACCAAGGCCCTATCTCTGCCGGCGGTTGGATTCTGTACACCAGAAGACAATAAGTCGACGCCTGAGTCGGAGTCTCTTCGTAGCCTGTGTAAGACGCTCGAGATTCGTCGATATCTGCTACGCAGGGCGGAGGTCGTAGTGCCTTGACATTCTGCAATGAATTTCCATCATCATCCACATTAGTAGGCCGAGATGTCGTCCGAGTCATCTTCGGAAGAATTGTGTGCTGCAGCCAGATCCAATTGGTTGCGGATGGTGAGACAGGCATCAATGTCTGCCAGAAGAGACTCATCAAGGAAACTGAAGGGGAGACCCTCCCACTCGATGTCCGGTGTGTGGGACATTCCAGCCAGCCCACTTGTGGGCTGCACAGTATCGCGTTCAAGATAGTGAAAATCTGCTGGAATGCCATGACGGTATTGAGAGACCGGGGCACTGGAAGTGTGTGGAGCACACTTTGCCAGTATAATAACGACCGCCATTCAGCAATTGCATCCTTGTAGGGAACCTTGGTTGATATAAGAGCTCTTGACTGGCTGATTCCTGCAATAGAGTCCGAAACGGAACGTGCAGCAGAGTCATGGTGTTTGGGACCACAAGGAAGGGCTCACGCGGCCTATTTCGCAGCTGACTCAATCTCGCGAAGTACTTGGAAGTCGAGAGACAGTTGCAGCAGGCCATAGCATTCATTAGGGTCCGCTGTAGCAATATCTTGCGCGATCGAGCATAAGAAGCTGGGCCTTGATGGACATAGCCGCTTCCCCTAACATGTGGCGCCGCAAGCTAGGTGCCAAAGGTCTCTTGGATGAGCATGTCGAGGAAATTCACAAGAGCCATGTTCATGGTTTGCTTGTCCGCCTGCCAAGCTATGCAAAGCATAAGCATGCACAGAATCATCATCATTGATAGGGAGGCTGCGTCTGCTTGCAATCTGAGCATTGACTCGGATTAGCCAGCTTCTATGACCAAGTATGGCCACCCTCTGGGTCTGAGAACAGAATTCGTCCACGACGAATCGCATTCCTTGCTTGAATTGGTAGGTCCGGTGTACTTCGTGGACCCTAGATCCATGAACTCGGCGAGCGGGATATTCATGTAAACGACTTCGCGGTGAATAAGTAGTCCGATGTTTGTGTGAGCAATTTCGTGCTCACGAGACGTGACTTTAATGATCAGGGTTAGAGTATCAGGGAAATACGTCAGGCGGATGACACTTCCTAGTTCCTGGCGGTTTGTCTCGATGCGTTCAAAATCTCTCCTCGCTACGTTTTTTAGTGAGATGTATTGATATTGTATCTCAGAGCCGATAGTTCGTCCGCTGATGGGTCTTTTACTATTGACGTCGGAGATCTACCTTTCTTTGACTTTGCGCCCTGACGAGCTTCACAGGACCATCACCTATTTCCTTTCCATATTTGAGCCAGTTGGCGTCGTAGAATTTCCACAGAGCTCTTGCTAGAAGGAAATGCTCTACTGTCATCCCCGACGCTGACAGTCAACCACCCAATTGATGAAGACTGAGCCCTGAACCGGTTTCTCCCATCTGGTAATCTGGTGCAAGATTAACCACATCCACAAGTAGAGAAATGACCGCTGAGCCAGGGAGCGCCGTGGCCGGGAAAGACATGATATGCCCAATTGGGACAAGGTGACTTGAAACCCAGCATCTGAACTGTGCACTGTGCTTGTGGGAGAATAGAGACATCAGGGTAAGAAGCTTCTCTGAAGATAGTGAGAAGAAGAAGAGTGGCGAGCAGGGGGGAGCGGTGATATTTATACTTGATTAAAGCAGGCAAATAGGAGGAAATACCTTTCATTTAGGTTAAGAGTATTCAATATCTAAGCAGACTCTTTGAAACTGCTAGGACATTCACTCTAAATCGGTGTAGTGAATATATGAGGACAAATGCTAGTGAGACAAAGGGCATACTACATATTCCCCTGCTGGTCCCTATGAGATAAATGCTATATTAGAATGTTCCTTATTTTCTCTACAACAATGCATAATCTTTCCCTTAGACAGTACCTATTCTAAGCCTTTGAGTCTGCTATACAAAATTCTGGCATCCTATGACCTTATATGCTACTGATTCTCTCCATTACTGTCTTAAGACACTCATTCACCACAGCCTAATATGGCACTCTAGGCGAATACTAAATACTAAATACAAGCTAGAATTGAATAGACTGGAAGATAGATACATGTTACAATAAACTTTGACTACTTTACACACCTGTTGGACCATTAGATTTAACTACTTACCAAAATTAATACATAATAACCTCACAGCCAGTCGCTGATTGTAGTGTGTAGCCCCGACACGAGTAGAAAAAGGGTGTGGTCATAGCCCATCTGGGATGGTTCTCTTGCTCCTATCCAAAAAAAGGAAAGGTATATCCATGTCATTTTGCTCTCTGAACAGCATACTCTTATTATGCTCACCTGTACTCCATAAGTGTGGCCTTACCAACGCTAAATGTCCGCCATGGGGTATTTCGGCATTATTATTGATGGACAGCATTTGCCGCCGCATGGATCATTCAGGCCTGGATCATCATGGAGCGGATCAGACTGTGCTGGGTAAACCAACCAATCTGCACTAGTGCCTTAGTGAGGAGGCAGTAGGGAAAGGAGCGGCCATGGCTTAGTACTCCGTAGTGATCGAAGTACCTCGAAAAGATGTTGTTCTTCAGGGTCCAATTATGCATGTCTTTGGTTTCAATTGGATAAATACTTTTGCTTGCTGTAGCTCTGAGATGCTCACAAGATGATATTATCACCAGATCGTTACAGTGTGGCCACACCACACTCTTGATGCAGACCATTGGCCGCAGAAGGGCGGATGAAGCCGCCGTGGGGAAAGTTGGAGTCTTGGAGACGGATTGCTTATCAAGCCTCAGGCCTTCCATCCTCCTTCGTCAGCCTTGTTTAATCTCCTCAGTTTAATTAAGCCCATCTCTCGTCCTCCGCGACTCTGTGACTGGGGCGATTTCTCGTCCGAGCAGAATGAGCGGTCTAAGACCGGATAGATTTAGACTTCAACTCTATCATCATCTTTTTTCTCCTTGACGCGGCTTGAGTTTTCTCTCCCCTTGTATTTCCTCACCTCATTTTCTCGCCCGTCCGATTCCTCTCACATCAACAAGCACAGCGAAACACGTCCGAATCCTGCTGTGCCGATCGTTCATCTACTGGTTACCGACAGCCCGATAAACTATCAATGGACCCCCGCATTCCGGGTCCAACCTGCTGATTCCTTGACGATCAACCCCCTTGCTTCCGCACGGCGGCAACGGTTCCCAACACCGAGTTTGGGATCGCGGGCATGGAGCCGGCCTGTCAACCCCCGATTCGCAAATCCGAGTCGCCCTCCGCTGCTGCTCCCAGGAAACGACGAAAGAGGACCGTTGTGAGTGGTGCAGCGGATGACTGCTTCACATGTGCCAGGGAGGGTTCTGTCTGTGACCGACGACGGCCATATTGTTCGCAGTGTTTGAACCGTGGACGGGATTGTGCGGGATACAAGACGACGTTAACCTGGGGTGTGGGTGTTGCCAGTAGAGGCAAATTTCGAGGACTGTCTCTCCCAATCACTGGAGCGCAACCAGCTGCGACTGGAGATAGTCGTCGTCGTTCCGGAGGCGAGGAGAATCCGTCGGGACAGCCGGTCACATCGCCAACTACATATACCTTTGCCTCTGATGCATCACCGTCTACTGCATCCGACAATGTAGAAAGAGCCACACTTCAATCGCAGGGATCGCCGAGTCCGGACACCAATGAGACTGCAAGTTGGATGCGAACGGGCGCGGACCCGCAAGCCTGGCCTACTCCAGCGGCTGATTTCTCGTTTGGAAATCCGTCGGTTGTTGACTCTAGATCTCCTTATACAGAGTCGCTGATACAGTCGATCCCGACGAACTCTTCGTTACAATATATGCAGACAGTCCAAGTGGCGAATCATCACTCTAACTTTCAAACCAATGCTTGGACAGAAAGCTGGCCAACGTCAACCACTTCTACGTTCGAACAATGGCAGGTGCTACCAGCTTGTACTGCTTCACAACCTGAAGACACTGAAGGAGCTGGCAAAAGTTCAACGGATTCAGGTCCCTCAGGCGATCCTCGCCGGATTGCACTCTATTCCCCTTCATTTTCTCAAATGCTTCTTGCACGATCGGTTGGCCGCACACCCCGTCTGAGATACTTGATAAGCTACTATGCGGAAGTCATTGCGCCGGTCATTGTAGCTTTCGATAGCCCAACGAATCCGTTCCGCACTCATATTCTGCGTCTAGCCCAGGACAGCGAGCCCCTGCAGGAGGCCATCGCAACACTGGCCACTAGCAATCTGCGGCAACGACGAGAGAGAAAATCTATGCCGACAGACAGGACGCTCCCTTCACGCATGTCATCCTTGGCACATCGAGCACTGACCGATGGAACCTGCCAAGATTTTCAGGATACTTTAAAGGCTGAAGGATTCGCCCGCGAGGAGCAATACCATCGAGGTTTAGCGGTGAAAGCATTGAATATGGAGCTCGCCGATCCCCATCGAAGGATGTCCGATTCTGTTCTGGCAACCTTGTTCATCCTATGTCTCTTTCACGCCTGCGATACTGGTGTGGCGCAGTTCAAAACGCAACTCGCTGGTGTGACCAAGCTTCTGGCCCTCCGAATGCGCCGTTCGCCGGTCCTTTCCGATGAGTTGAAGTGGTTCATCCGCGTATTTACCTGGTACGACACGATGGCTGCCACGACCAACGATCGCGAGATACAGCTGCGCGGCACATGTCTGGATATCGCTGCAGTCTCCGACAGCGAATGGGGCCTTGAGAATCTGACTGGCTGTGATGCCAGCTTATTCAAGTATATTGCACAACTCGGCCGCCTGAATCTCCTGAGCCAGAAGCAAGAGGTCAGCACGCCTGCTCTTCCTGAAGTGTTTGTTCCCACGACATCTCTGCCACCATCGCTACTCTTCGACGCATCGATGGCCACCGGTATTCCGGGAATGAACGCCTCCTTCAGCTTTACCATACCAATACAATCACAGTCGGTTGAGCGAAGCAGCCGATCTTTGTCGCCAGCATTCTGGGCCGAGTGGTTCGCACTCCGGCAGCAACTAGAAGCCTGGCGACTTCCGGCCTCGCGATGGGAGTCCTCATTACCGCGTGGTTCGGACCACATCTCAACTCCTCCTTCCGCTCAAGCCTACATCTCTCCACCATCCTCCCCATCTACGCAATATGCTGTCGCGCCTCAGAACATGGATGACGTATTCCACATTTCGGAATCCTTTCGCCATTCGGCAATACTCTACAGCGAACGACTCGCCTACCCAGACCTTCCTTCGAGTCATCCTCGTATTCAACACCTAGTGCACCGTGCGATGCACCATATCTCACTGGTCAAGTCGGATGTGTACCTGCTATGGCCGCTCTTCATCACCGGATCGGAGTGCGTACTCCAGAGCCACCG